CCCCCCCCAAAACCAAAATTTTATTGCAGATTCGGGGTCCTCTTGCCGAGCGCAGAATGACCCCGGTTTCAAAAAAAAAAAAAAAAAATCTGGGCGTGTTTTTGGCCCTTTACCCGGGTGGCCACGCCGGGCCCAACCGGCCGGGCGGCGTCCTCACTCAGATTTTTATTTTTATTTTTATTTTTTTGGTTTTCTGCGCTCTCCCACAGGACCTCAAATTCGGTCTCATTTCTCTTTTTGTGAGTTGGCTGTCAAAGGGGGGGAGGGGGGTATAAATTGGTTTTAAAGGGGCTAAAGGGGTCTAAAGGGGGGTGCCGTTGTGTGACTCTGTTATTTTCTTTTTTATCTCCGATTCTGTGAGGAATTATAATGTTACCCTCAGCCAAAAGTCGTTTGTATTTCATTTCTACAAAACATATTTTTCCGTGTTTTTTTTTTTTTCTGCGCTGGGGTTGCCTGGAACCCTGCCCGGGGGTCATGCCCGGCCGGGCACCCGGGCGTGTACCCGGGCAGAATTTGGGTGCCTGGGCGCCCGGAAAAAGACAGCCTAGGTGCAAACTCCGTAAACCAAACAGACTTGGTTTTGTGAAGAGAATAGTTCCAATGGTAGAAGTACTAGAACATAGATATTTATCTGGCGGCCTCTGTTTTTTTTTGGGTTAAGCCAGGTTCAGGAAGTCCAGCCTTGGGCACAAGAAAGGTTCGATGAAAAAGTTTCTGAGGTCTCACTTTTTTCTTCGGTATTACCTGAGCTCGACTTGTTTTTCAATCATGAAATCGGTGGGGACACTGTTTTTTTCTTTTTGAGAAAGAAGGGGTGATGGCCTTGAGATATCATCTTCACAGTTCAAAGTTCAAACTGACCGGCCCCAGGTAAATTCAGAATTATTTAGTATTTACTCATCTGAGTTGATTGGGATTGGAAGTGAGGTCTGTATTTCAAATGTTCATGGGTGTACCAACTGAGCTGGGCCTGTCTGACACAACTCTTGCTCCCTGCAGGGTGCCTTCGTGCAGTTGAGATCGCACACGCTCCTCCTTGAACCTCAAGCTCCTAAGGCTGACAAGTGGGGCTCAGGAATAAGGCTTGTCGGTGTACTACTGTCAAAGGTGAGTTTTGCCGTGTTCACATTCCCGTCAAGTGCAGATGCTACTACACACACCTGCCGACTACCCTCACTCTCTCTCTGTCCACGTGTCACTCGCAAGGTGCTGCTGAAGAGTCTGCTCGCATGTTTACCACTCGCCAACACCAGGTAAGCACCACCAGTTCGCACTGTCTTCCTCCTCTTTCCTGACCTCCTCTCCATGTTGCCATCCAGCTCCCTGCTTGGCGCTGCCCAGCTATGGCAGGCGCTAACGCAGCAGCCACCCCATCTGCCTTCTCTTGCTCAGGCGCCAGTTGGCCACAATGAGCTGCTGCAGCACTGCCGCATGCTGGCAAATGCCCAAATGTCTGGGTCACAGTAGGCAGTCGCTACTCTCTACGAGTCTGAGTCTGGGTCTTGGCCTTCGTAACTAGCTGGACGCTGGGCCTAGTGCCTATCTCAGGTGCAGTTTCATTCCGCCTCGGTCTTCACTTAGGGCGGCCTGCATGTTTTCTCATGTGGCATTCTTGGGCTCGCTGAGGTCTGAGCCTCATGAATGTGAAAATGCATGACAAGTTACAATCATTGCAGATCAAATCGAATGCAGAGACATAAATAAAGACATAGCGAACTTGTTAAACAGCCACTACCGTTCTCATATGTCGGCCGTGGGGTGGGTCCCACTTGTTTCACAGGCCAGTAGCTGCCCGTGAAAAATATCCGCAGTCGCTTGTCGTCGATTTTTTTGGAAGAGGTCATTTTCCCAAATCGGACTACAGCTGCGAAAGGTAGTGGTGGCTTAATAAGTCGTTAAGAGCACGGTACATCCTGCTGAGAGAAGCGGAGCTGAGCCTTTTTGCAGACTCACACCACTTCCGGACAGAAGGTTGTCGCACATGTTTGCGAGAAATGCTCGCTTGCAATATACAGAGTCGTGAGAGGAAGAGAGATGAGGGAAGGAAAATACATTTCCGTTGCTATACTACTTACTTTCCCTTACATTCCCTTCGTCTTTCTTTGCTTTGTCTTCTCTCCATCTCTTCTCTGTGTTAATCCCTCTTTTTATAAAGGTTGTGCAGGCTGAGGTATCGGCAGGCCCTACCCTGACGGCGAGTGCTATAATCACACTCCCACGACACACCCGGGCCAGAGCGGGCCATTCCAAGGCGGCAGACTCCCAATGGTACCCAGTCCCTCAGTGACCCTCCCCCCCCCCAACTGTGTATGTTGTAAGCACAGCCAGCAGGACGCTCGACCGCCTTGCGACCGTCCCCCTGTGGGGTACCCGACCGGGGATGCAAATGCGCTGGAGTCCAATATCGCAGATTCCAATCGCGGCCAGGATTTGAACCCGCAGCCTGTGTGTCTTGCGACACACAAACCTGTAGAACGGAGGCACCCGACCAACTGGGCTACTGCACATCCACTTCCCCCTTTACTCTGCCTCTTTCTCACAGCGTACAAGCGGACCATTATGGCACACGCGGATGCGGGCAGCTCTCGCCCTCAATTTCATCAACGCAGCGAGCTTTGTTCGTGAGAGGCACAGTAAAGAGGAAGTTACAAAGAAGAACGATAAAAATGAATGGTGTTTCAAGGTGTCCTTCATGTATGCGTTGTGTATTTTTATCGTTTATATTTTGCAAAGTGCGTTCTTTTAGTTCATTGATATGTTACAATATAATTGAATATATATATATAGTGATTTCGAGAAGAATATAAATTATTTTTAAAAGAAAGAAGAGAAAGGGAAAATGGTTTAGTGATTCAAAGGAGATAGGGAACTCCGTCTTCAGAGTTAGTCCATATTCACAAGAGGAGTGTCTGGATGGAATCTGGCCTTCATAGCAGTAAGATATACACATAAGGTGGCAGTCCTCATGTGAAAATGTCATTAATTTGCCTTGTTTGAGGAGTGTTTGCTTAGCTTTTGCCCTGTATATCTGTACTGGATTGCTTCTGATTTGCTTGCCTGCTGGGATTTTGAACTGCGTTTACAGCAGCCACAACATCAAGACAGTGCTGCACGATCATCTGGCCAAGTGCAACAGCAGGTCCAAGGTTCATCTCAGACTAGCAGCCAAGGATCTGGCCAGATGGGTGGACAAGTGATTGGGCAGAAAATGGGTCAGTCAGCGGCAGGTCAGATGTCGGGTCCATTGCACAGCCATCTGCAAACAACCACACAGTCGCTCTCATCAGGGGGGAACAATACACACAGCATGATGCACATGCCATCAGGCCCAGGGCCAGCGGGCGCCGTTATGAGCAATAATGGCATGTCATTGAGTGCGATGAGCGGCGGCGCCGGCGGAGGAAACAACATGATGAGTGGCAATGCGGTGATGGGGATGTCCCAGCTTCCAAATGCTGGCATCAGCAGCGCCGGAATGCTGAGCTCAGGGTTATCGGGAAGTGGGGTGGGTATTGCAAACGCAGCACTGAACTCGCCGCCTCTGGATCCAACGACTTTAGGATCGATGGCTGGTGGAATGGCAGCAGCTACTGCTTCAACACTAGGCATGGGGGCTGGAAGCTCAGGATTGATGGCGGTGACGGGGGGGGGGCTAACAGGCGCAGGCGTTGGGTTGGCATCGTCTGGAGGAGGGGGCTTGGGGCTGACAACATCATCGTCCGCCCTGTCAGGACTTACATCCTTCGGGGGGAATGGGCTGACCAGCGGTACGGGAAGCGAGTTGCCCTCTTCTTCTGGAGGTTCAAGCACCGCTGGTGGTACGATTGCAGCTGGCGGCGGAATGATGGTTATGGGAGGGGGAATGAACCCCTCTACCAGCATTCCACCTATCTCCGCAGGTATGGCCAGAACCACAGCCGCAGGAATGAGCTCGCCTCCATTAGCAGTCCCTCAAGGTCTTGCTGGTACTTCCGGTCTCACCATGGCCGGAGCTTCTGCACTGAATGCCCCCCACTCTTCAGCAACCTTGTCATCAGCAAGCACCTTGGCAGCTGCCGGGCTGGGCGGCCAGGTTATGGGGCCGGGGCAGCTGCCAGGGCCACAGGGCCGAAGTCAACTTCAAGGAGGAATACCATCATTACCTGGGAATGGCAGTGGACTGCAAGGGAATGGGTACATCAGATAACTTAGGATCCTCTGGCCAAAGCTGCTTATGGCTCTGCTGAAGCTGCTGACAACAACAACAACAAAAAGGACTGGCTGGCCCAAAAAAATGGTGATGATGCCGCCAGTCTTTGGTCCAATGATTATCTTGCAGGCAAGTTGGCGGGAGCGTCGTCATGGTGGCCATGGCATTATGTTGCCTTCGTTGTATTCGTTATGTTTTTATAAATGTTTGGAGGTCCTATGCTGGATTGTCTTTTTTTTTCCTTTTTTTTTTTTAAGTCCGGTTTCTCTTCTTTTTCAAGTTTCTTGTTTTTCTTTCCCTTTTTGCCCCCTCTTTCCCGTTCAAGTCTCGGATCTCGTTCTCGCTCATTTTCCATGCCTTTGTTGGGATCCTTATAAGTCTTTTTTCTTCTTTTTTTTCCTTTTATTCATCTTTTTTTTTTTTTTTCCAATGATCCTTAAAACTTAAAAGTTAAATTCTTTATTGTTTGGGAGAGGACAATACTCCGCCGTCCTTTGTGAAAGCTGTAAATATCATAATTAACTACGGAGGTGTTCTTTTAGCAGGCTTCTGCAGAGACGGATGGTCGGTACGTGACAACACTGAGAAGAGAGGGAGCTCTCCCCAGTGCTCTACCAACTAAGCTATACACCCAGAATCCAGATAGGCTTAGTAGGATTTGAACCTACAATATCACCGTTATGAGCGGTGCGTTTGAACCAATTAAACTATAAGCCCAGGAACTTGCTTCAGAAACAACAAAACTAACTTCCCCTCACTGATGCGGATGACGGTGAGTTGGCGACACTGAGAAGAGAGGGAGCTCGAGCAGAGAGCTAGACTCTGCTTGAGCTCTCCGAGGCAAGAGGTGGAGCTCTTTCTCACCTGCTCTCCGTTCCCGCTACCCATCTGTCGATCTTCTGACACATAACAGTTCGGTTTTCAAGTTTACCAATCTGCTCCACATGTGTCTTCTTGCCCTCAGCCCTCTTTCCTCGTCTGCACTGAATCTTCTTTTCTTGAAGTTTCGTTAATTCTTCCCGTAGACAGACGTCAGATGCTGCTTGACATCAAGGGGTGCTGGAGATCTGGATCACACCAGATCTGTGAGACTTTTGGATGTTTCTCTTCTGATATTCATTCCTGCGCTTACTTGCAGTCCTCCGACGCCCCATTTGCCTCCAGTGACCTATCGCCAAATCGGCAGCCATATAGAAGAAGCTCGGGCGTACCTGGTCGTTGGTGGTGGCCAAATGCCCCGGTTTAACGAACTAACCTTGCGAGGATGGGGAGTGTTCAATTGGGGCCCTTAAAGCGCCCGTTGCAAAAGATCTTTATTTTTACCCGCCGATTGCGGCCTTGATGTGCCCACCACGTGGCACACCATAGCTCCGCCACCATGCATTTATGTCTTCTCTGCTCCTCCCGGCCTCCCTCGCTCCCTCCCTCCCTCCGCCTCCCCTATGCACCTGCTCTTCCTCACTTTTTCGTATTTTCCAAAGAAGAAGAAAATGGCAGTTGTCGCCCGAGGCCAGATTTTTATTCTTCTCTGCTACAAATGTCTGCCTCCTGGCTCATTATCATTGCTGTCTTCGCATCTACCTGAGTTTACAGACATTGGGCCACGCTGCCTGGAGCTCATAATCGTCCCGATACATTCAAAATGTCAGATTCGTGTGAATGCACCTGGTCCAGAAAGCGTCCAAATGCATGTAGAATGTTGAGTAGTGCAGCGAGATCCATTGTTTGCTGTGTCAGTTTTGTTTTCGTGATACCAAAATTTGATCTGCCCTGTGTAGCACACCGAACATATCGGGGCTTTTGCGAATATTGAAATTGTTTTCACAGCAGTCATGAGGAAATGCCCACAGTTTCAACTCCTCCTCCTCCTCCTCCTCCTCCTCCTTCTCCTCCTCCTCCTCTTCTTCTTCTTTTCTTCTTCTTCTTCTTCTTCTTCTTCTTCTTCTTCTTCTTCTTCCTCCTCTTCTTCCTCTTCCTCCTCTTCCTCTTCTACCAGAGTCTTCTTCTTCTTCTTCTTCCTCGTCCTCTTCCGCGTCCTCTTCTTCTTCTTCTTCTTCTTCTTCTTCTTCTTCTTCTTCTTCTTCTTCTTCTTCTTCTTCTTCATCATCATCATCTTCATCTTCTTCTTCTTCTACTACTACCAGAGTTTTATTCCAAATTCAACACCGAGGCCGTGGATTTCAACACGGGGTACTGAGAGCATTACTCAGCTTCGTTTTTTTTTTTTTTTTGGGTGAAAACTCTCAGGCAGGGCCTGCTAGAGGGGGTGATATGAACGTCCTCCTCTATCTGTGCTCTGATCTATTGGTGAGCATCTGCTGGAAACCGGGTCCAGCGTCCCATTATACAAACATTGAACCTAGGCCATCCCCAGTTTCAGCTATACAAACATTGAACACCGCACCATGGGTTCTCTGATTCTGTACTGACATAACACCGTGGATGTTGTTGCCAACAAATCATCTCATGAACAAGGTATAACTGAAAACCCCATTCTTCTAATCCTTGCCCTACAATGACCTACCGTCTTCACCCGAATAGAACGCCCGGTCATTATCGCTGTATCTAGACGAAAAGTTGCTCGGAATACGGCTATAATGACCGGGTGTTCTGTTCGGGTGAAGACGGTAGCACTACTGCCTGCTGTCTACCCCTACCTCCTGTTTACCTGGACCTAGCCGGTCCACCTCTTCCCCACCTAATGTGGCTGGTTGGAACCTCAGTTCCCCTGGTGCATGACACTCTCTACGCATACCATACTGTGGTTCGGAACGGAGTGTCCTGGTCCTACTGAGGCAGTCTCCTATCCCCCAATCCCCAAAGTTGTGACCAAGTGTGTGCCTTGGTCCAGGCTTTGTTGAGCCAACAAGCTAACTGTAACCAACCCCCTACCGAGACTGAATCAAAAACTGACCAGCCCTGCACCAAGTCTCCTCGAACCAATCCCCCTGCCTTTTACTGACCTTCCCCCCTCTGCTTTCCTTTCTCCAGTCTGCACGTACTTCCTCTCGAAGCAGCTGCTTGAGCAGACCTTGCCACATGGCTCTCCGACGGGCCTTTACCATTAAACCGCTATTCATACCTCTCCTCTCCTTCCAGATCGTCCATATCATACTGGCTCGGCCCACTTGAGCCACATAGCCCCACCCTTTGGAGATTGAGACACCCTCGGGAACATGACCCAATAAAATCCACCTCTCTCCTCGAACGTTGGCTGGCCTGAAGCGTGGAGCCAGTACATATCCCACCAGGACCACCACCTCCGCCCCTTCTCGGATCTGGCACAGGCCCACCAAAGGGGATACATTGTCGCGCAGGGCCAGTTACAGTGCTTCTGGATCAAGAACAGCAATGATCGAGGCATGGGGAAAATGCAGACCGGTAACACACTTCTCGCGTATATGAGAGCGAAAGTGTTGCGTGAACCACTCTTAGAGAACAGCCACATCGGACAGTTCGACGTCGACATACGAGGGAAGACTTCGTGGGATCTTGCGGATGGCCAGACCTTCTCTGCATCTGCAACTCCGGGGAGTTACGGGGTTAAGTGGATTCAGAGAGTGTATCGGTGGTGAGGGGTTCTGTGGGATGAGTACTGTTACATGCTGAGCCTGCACACGTTGGCCCCAAAATTTTGGGGGCCCTACGGTTGCTGGGGTCCCCCAGGCCACATGCACCTCAGACGCGGGCCCTGGAGGCCCACGCCCGGCCTTAGGGCCGCAGGTGTCGATTTGATACAGCATTTATTTATTTATTTGCTGTCCTATTTTGTCTGTTCAGGCGTCGTTTCAGACTTGCAGTTCATCTGAACAGACTTTCGGTCTGTTCGGACAAGGCCACGTTTTTGGCCTGGTACGGACGTAGGCAGGCCCTGTTGGGCCAGGTCCTTCTTCGTCCAGTAGCGGACGTCCCTGATGCATCAGCAGGGAAGTCTGGACATCCGGTCGGGACCCAGACCCAGTAGGCCACGTTTTGGCCGAAGACCAGAGGCACACGGAGGCACACCCGAGAGGCCCAGCGCTACTTATAGCTGGGCCAAGCCTGGGCAGACACAGTTCGAGTAGCTCGCTTCTTGGGCGACACACTGCTGCAGCAGCACGACAGCACTACGCTAGAGGTAGAGGTGCAGGTAGGGAGCGAGGCGGAGGCCATACTACACCTCACCTCCATCTTTGTCTCGCCTCTCTCGCATCTCCTCATCCGTGGTATCTTCCCCCATGTGCGTGTTCAAGGAGGGACCTACTTATTCAAGGAGGGACCTTTCTTCCATGTATGTGGTCCCTCCTCCCTCTCTCACATGTGTGGCGTATGATGGAGTGGCATGTCAGTCTCTGATAGGTCAGGTCATATCTTTGAGTCTTTCGCTGCGCTACATTGTGCTACTTTCATATGTATCTGGATGTACATTGCTTGTTGATGCTTTGCTGACACTGCATAATCCATTTGAGTCCTTTTCATCACTTTCCGGATCCTTGGCTCCCCATACATCGCTCGACTGAGCATGTATCAGTACACAGGTCAGTGGAAGACTGTGCACTATCTGAGCTACGGCTTGACCCCACTTGGTAGGGCTCGGTGTGCGGAGACCAACAGTTCGATCGTGCTGGTGGGAGCAAAAGTGCTGCAGACAGACACACTGGACTTGAAAGTGGCGAACAAATGGGAGAAAATGTTACCACACCTGAAAAGATATATGAGGAGACACTGGGAACAAGTGGCTGTGATGTCTTCTCAGAAGACGGTCTCCTTACTGTGGCGGCAGTCTCACTTAGTAGTGTCGGTAGCTAGGTGGCTGAGGCGGAGAGGTATGCAAGTAAAGGAGGCCTGCAACCGCTGTAACTGGATCTACGAGACAGTGCGTCATGTTTTTTTTTGTTTTTAACAAGAAGATGTCAATTTTATTATATAAGCTGGAAATCGGGACCGGCGTCCCTAACATAAAAGACACACTCCACACTTCCTTCCAGCATTGATTGCTTCCTTTCCAGGAATGATTTACCACTGCTCTTTCCCTGCAATTATGTGTTTTTTCTGCTAGCTCCTCGCAGACTCCGGGCTGCGGGAAATTCCTATACTCGTGGAGCTATCTTAAATCCCAGTACACAGCCTCAGCCTTGCTGAAAATGCAACTTGACGCCTACAAAATTTTCGGAGGCTTGGCCTACCGGGCCACAATGGCTGGTGGAGCCAGCCAAAAAGAAAAGAAGGTGTGCTGCTCGCGCTTCGGAAAAGCTTGGCGCGCAGTAGGGCGCCTCCTGGCCTGGGTGTACTGGTGGTCTAACCATCTCACACCTGATCGAGTCAATAGCGTTGATTACTCCCTTGGAACCACCAGGCTCCTTTTTTTTTTTTTCCCAAAAACACTCCCCTTATATTCTGGGGGGCATCAGTCTGGGTTGCTTATCAGCAGCAAGCATGTTTGTACAAAGACGATGGGGGAGGGGCAGGGGTGGGGAGATAAGAGAAGAAGACCAGCCTAGCCCTTGTGGCACTAGCCGCCTAATCAAGGGGGGGCTGGGGATTGTCCTACTGATCAGGAGGCTTGCATGCCTGAATCATGCCTAAGTCGTATCCTACATCATATCTCTCTACGTCCCTTGCCCAATCCCAATGAGCCCGCTGTCTCCAGTTTGTCGCTCTCTGTCAATCTGCGATTCCAAATCTTTCTTTGTGCTATCGGATCCATACTTTGTCCCCTGTTTAGCGTTGTAGTGGTCTTTGTATGTGTCCCACCTACAATGTATCTCCTGTTGTGACTACTCGTACAGAGTCTTCTGAGTTGGTGTTCCCTATTAAACCACCAGTGCTTGGCCCAGCTATCGGCCGTAGAAAAAAAATAGAGTGGAAACGTTTCTCGTTGGATGAATTTGGGCGCTCCTGTAGTGGCCCGTACACTTCCTAAAATAGTGGCTGGCTTGTATACGGGCACGACTTTAGGAAGTACTGGTGGTTTAACCACCGTTTCATCAAAACGGAGATTTTTTTTTTGTTGAATGAAATTGGGCTTTCGTTGAGATGTTAAAAAGCTGCCCAAAATTCTCTTCTTAGTATCCAGGCGGCCCCTGATTCTCGACATTGTCATTCTGTACAAGGGACGCTGGACCCGTTTTCCAGCAGGTGCTGCTACCCACCAATAGGTGGAGCACCCCCCAGGTGCTAGCGGTGTCTGCTCTTATCAGCACCCCTAAAAAAAAAAGTATCCAGCATCCTCTGGACTGCATTCGGTCCAGATAAAGAGGGTTCGGCGTACCCTCAGAAGATGAACTTTGGCAGTTTTTTGGGCTTCATTGCTGGTTGCTGACAATAAAAGAA